CCTCTATAAATATGGTGTCAATTTCTAGAACTGTGATCAATATAAAATTTCCCTCAAAATAAAATAAATATCAGTGGCAGGATACTCAAATGAAAAAAAAATTTTGTAGGTTGTGTTGATGTTTTTCTTTGTTCTACATAGTCCTGATGAAAAATCTCAGACACTTGTTGTAAAAAAAAATGTAAAATGCTGAAATCAGACTAATAACTGCAACTGTCATGGTGATGCCATAAAGAGTGCTAGTGTGATCCTTCTAATCTAGAAATGAGCTTAATCATAGTATAGATGTTTTGTCATCAGCCTGCTGTCAAGATAAATAATCTTCCTCTACTGTATCTACATGACAAATGTCAGTCAAAGCAAGATGGAATCCTTTGAAGGGAAATTGTAATCTATAAAATATATATTTTTGAGACAGGATTGATTTGAGCATCAAATGAAACTATTTGGCTTTGTACTGAAACACAGTAATTTTTTCCTAAGGCTTCAGCAGATACTCTTGGGCAGATTCTCTTGGGCAGTCTTATATAACTGCGGAACTCAAAGTTCTAGAAGTTACTATATATGATTGGCCAATATAAGAGAAAAGATCATGCTTAGAGAAAAATTGTAGTTCTTTGTTCTTGCATTTATGTCTTAGTTATGCTCAGGGGTCCTCATCCAAATTCCAGTGAAATCAATGAGAGCTGGAAAAGGCCATCATAGCATAAACCTTGTGCCTGCAGGTTTTTTCATCTTGATGTAAAAAGAATAGGCATATGGCTTTGAACATGTGAGAGGGAAAAAACTGCTGCTTCAGGAAAGGACTATGGGGATATTTTTCTAAGATATGAAAGGAGGTAGGCACCTAACTGATTGTGCCTTTGAAAATACTTGACTTACCATCTAATAAAGCAATATTACCAAACAGAAGTATAGATTCTTCTTGGTGAGCTGATCTTGAATAAAAGCTCTATTATTTTTTCACTAATAATTCTTTGCCTATTTTTAGGATTTTTGTTTTTATTTGTAGTACTTATTAAGTGTTCAGTCCTGTTAAAAATCCAATGTTTTTAAAGTCCTTCTTATCTTAGCAACTAAAGATAGGAACCACACTAAATAAATGAAAAAAGGAAGAGAATGCTTCAGTTCACTGTGGCAGCTTCAAGGGCAACAGAATACCTAGCACAGCACACAAAAATGCTGTGGTAGCTTCCTCAATTTGCCTCAGACATAACACACGGGCAGTTTTTCTACTTGTATACATGATTCCTTAGATAATAAATGGAAGCACATAAGCATTAAAATAGTTTTGTATTTTTCATATCACTATTACTATGGTCCTGCTAAAATCACCTATCTAGAAAAGGTTTAATTACTTTCAAAGACACTAAAAAACTCTGCATCTATTTCAATACTAAACATATTTCAGAAGACTTCCACTTTGCAAGTAAATCCATTAATGCAAATTAGTATAACTGGTTTGTGCAAAGGTTTACAGTTTTCCAAAAAAAATTGATTTCTCTAATCTTCACATAAAGATGTTGATAATGAATTCTGACATACTGTCTGCTTTTGTAGATAAAGCCATCAAGCAATTCTGTTTCGATTCAACAGAAATAACATTACAAGGCTTCTAGATTATACATGGATTAAAAAATCTAACTTCAGTTTTGAGGAAAGCATCTATGTTGGAAAAAATAACTAGCTTTTCAATTGGCATGTGGAAGAATTAACATCTAAAGATATAAATGAAACATTAAGAACAAACTGATTTTTTTGATAATTCCAAGTTATTTGGACTCAAGAAAGGCTGATCAACTCCATACAGAAAAGATTGTTTGGAACTTACAAATCTGAATTCTAATGTCTGCATTAAATTTTTCTTCCTAAGGTCAAGCTTACTGTCAACTATTTGCTGAGGAACCTTCAAACCATTCACATGATTTCTTCCAGGTATATACATGAAAAACTGATGCGCAAATGCCTGTGCCTCTTGGCTGAATAAAGTGCCTCTCTATATTTTGGTGACATTTCTACATTCACCCTTCAGGAAGCAAACGATCACAAAATATGGAAGGCAAACTCTGGCTCTGATTCCCTGTAGATCACTTTTACACAGATGGATTTCTATTGCATCAACAGAAATACTTAATGACTTTCAACAATTTCTTTTTTATTGTGTGCTGTGGGTCTGGGTTTTTTGATTTGTTTTGTTTTGTTTTTGGGGTATTTTGTTGTTAATTAGAGGTCAATTGGTGGTAAAACAATGCAGCTAGGACACCTAATTGGCTGCATATATTTACATGGTTACTTAATATGAAAGTGTTTCTTTATGTAAATGAACCCTGAGATTTGAGGATGAATGCTGCAAATCAAGCAGTGTTTTCTGCTCAGCCTTTTTCACCAGTACTTAGGTGGACCTGCAATCACTGAGGAAGGGACCTTGATTACAACTGTCTGGAATGTCATCTGAAAACTCCTACTGGATGTGGTCCATCACGTGTTTAGCACGCTAACAGTTCTGGCAGGAATGAGTTCCATGAACAATGCTTTTGTTTGTTTTTACCACAGCATTTATGCTATTCAAACTCCAGGGAAAACATGGATTAGCATCCAAATTGCATTTGATTCATAAGTGCAATACTGTCCTCCTTATTCTGAAAATTATCTAGTGACAGCAACTCCATCTAGTCTGAAAATATCACATATTACTCATCAAAAGATGGAAAATTACATATAATGATGTGTTCTTAGCTCATCACAGAGAATTCTTTCCCCATTTCATAGCAGATCATAAGAGCAAAAAAATTTCTAGACTTCCATGACTTAGGTTTTTTCTCATATGCTCTCAAGAAGCCACATAACAGAAATAAAACACTTGCATCTACTAACAATTTGTTCCTTAAGGCTTTTAAAATTACTTTTTAAATAAATAAAAGTGAGAATGCAAATTCTCTCTGGAGAATGTAAAGACCTTGCATGATCTGAACCAGCTTCTAAATTTTCACTTGCAATGTTCACAAGAGTAACACCTATAGTCACATAGACAAACAACTGTCTTACTATTTGTTATATCCATTTATAGATTTTCAGTCTGTAAATCTAGCAGCTACAGCTAGTGTTTAAGATATCTATAAAGTTGTGACTGTTAGACTTCAAGTAATTTTTAATCTATTTCTATCTCCTTTACTGCTTTAAACTATAGATTTTCTCAGTTCCTCCATCTTTTAAACTGTCTAGATGTAGCAAAATAGTAGAATTACTAGTTGTTTTTTCTTATTACCTCATACTGTCTGTCAAATGTTATTATACTCTCCTTCAGCTCTGACATCTACTTTGTAGCCCACATTAATGAAAATGACAATCGACCCAAGTCCTCTATTCTTGCTTCAGCAGTCCTACAGGGGAAAATAGTTCTTCAGAATAGAAGGCAAAAAAATAAAACAACAGGAAAACCTCACTATGAAATAAGTGGATTTAAAATCACTCATAGACAAACAAAATACTTTTTCCTACTATTTTTTTTTTAATTTATACCACAGACTGGTCAGATAATGCGGATCTCTGACAACAGCAGCCCTGAGGAATAATTTTAACATACAATCTTCCATAAATAAAATCAAGCAGTGAAAGCCAACCTACATCTGCCAACACAGGGAACCAAAGGCAATTCCCCAACAGAGGACCCAGCATTCCAGTGTTCAGACTCAAAATACCTGAAATGCCACCCAGTTCACTATACATGCAAGCTTCCCTTCCTAGCATGTTCTTTGGCATTTTTAAACAGGTCTTTTGTCTTTCTTCACCCTGAGTCTTTTAGGTCATTGCAAATTCTCTCAAAAAATTAGAGGAATATCAAAAGGGGTTGACTTATACAATGAATGAGTCCCTCTGAAGACCCGTACTAACATGGCTTAGTGAGTTCTGGCTATAGTTTGTCATTTCAATTACTTTGGGGGGAAAAAAGCCAGTTTACTTCATAGTACCTGGGTTTCAAGGCATAAATGCTGACTTTCTTAAAGGTTGCTTTTTGTATTGCCTGACATTGTTTTCAACAAATACTTTTCTGTTTACTCTGTTCAGCAAGTAAAAAGACCTTAATATTGATGAAACAGCATGCTTAGTAATGACTTGTTAGGGTTATAAAACAATTATGGAATATTTCATGGCAGGACTACCTGTTTTTCTTTTGCTGTGTTTGACATTTCCAACTTTAAGCTCAGACTTAAAACACAGATAAAGCTACAACACTGAATGTGCGCCAGTAGTTGGTTCCAAGCACCTCCTCTGTAGCCTTTATTATCAACAGCATTACACAGATTGCTACTGTGATAACACCTCAAGCTCTTGTTCCAAATGGTCATATGAAAAGATTTTGCTCGCTTTATTTGTGGTTGAGGACAAAGAATAGAAAGAAGAATATTGCACAGTCACCCTTATTCATATGAGTTGTATAGAGAGACTAGGGGCTACTTTATGTTTCTGCTTCCTCTGTATTAAATGCTCAGAGCAGCCAACATGACATTTCAGAGAAAAAGATCTGAATATCTCCCTTTTTACAGTCTTGTTTAAAACACTGACCACAGCTCATGCTTCTCCTGTGTTTTGTTCATGTGTCTCAGTATGAATTGCTTCTGTGGAGAGGACAATGCCAGTTTTTAATTGTGAAGACTGCCAAGCCATTTGTTCTGTTCTTGTGATTTGGGCAGCATGGCTCCCACCATGTGTGTGATGTGAGTTATTCAGTATTTGCTGCTGTGCCATTCAATGGCAAGTTCCTTCTGGCAGCCAACCAGCCCACACCAGTGGCATTGCCTCAGCTCGGGATAACTTCCTGTGATACTGAGATACCTACAAAGGAAAATTCAAAAGTCAAAAAACTTCACTTAAAGAGGATTTCTGTTACTGGCAAGAGGACAAAAATATATTCAGATTTCAAAAACTGTAATGAATGCTATATCATGCAGACAGCTGGGATTTAAATGTTACAAAAACCTTTTTCTGTTTTTCTTCTGCAGTGGCAGACATCCATGCAGAGGGTGTCTCTGAGGTGAGGAATGGGAATCATGGGAAAAGGATGCACACCCATCCCAGATCTTCTCCTGAAGATGTGTCCCATCATTTTGCTGGTAATTCCTACCATCTCACTAGTGGGCCTTTGAAGCTCCCAACTGGGTTCCAGGCCCCTGGGTCTCAGACTTTTGAACTTTCTGCATGACCAGTCTGAATGACATCTGGTAAGTATAATAGTCTGCATTAATCAGATACAAGGTCAATTTCCTGCTTCCTAATAGCTAGTGTTTAGAATGGATATCAAGTTCTGGAGAGTAGAGGTTTTAATTCATACCAATCTGTTTGATTTTATACCTGTTGTTTGTTTGAATTTCAGCCAAAATTTTGGCCGTAATGTTTCTTGGCTTCAGTGATGTCTTTTGGAATAAGTTCTGGAGTGCAATTTTGCATTAAAGAAGAAAGGTGTTTTGGAGCAACAGTTTTTTGACTACTTCTTCCCACTTCAGAAGAAGCTTGCTTTTTTTTTTTTCATGAAAGACAGACCCTCAGTCTGTGTCCTTCATGCTCTTTAGTAAAATATGCAACTTGATTACAGAAAAACTTTTTATTTCAAAAATTAACCCCCTCCACATTCTTCTATTCTCTTTCATACAAGTGTTTTGCAAATTCCAGATTCTCTCTATTGATCAAATCATCTTTAAATTCTCTAACTTTATAGAAATCATATGACCTATGTATGGATGATATTCTAGATATGAGAAAAAAGGTGATGTATATAAGTATGTTACATAGTTTCATTATTCTCTACCACTCCTTTCATCCAACATTTCATTTGCTCTTCGAATGCAAATGCACATTGAACTTATGCCTTCATTGAACAGTTTTCAATAATTCTGAGGTTCATTTCCTGAGCTGATATAATTAATTTAGAAGCATGTGAGTGGTATGAGCACTTAAGGTGTCTCCCTTCCTGTGTCAGCTCTTCTTCTCTGTGGTATCACTGCTGATTTTCATCTATCACTCTGTTGTCTGTTCATTTTACATACATATATATTCAAAAACCTTTTTTTTTTCTGATTAAAATTCTCATTTGCTTCTCTTTTCTCTGGTCTCACCCCCATTAGCATAACATATGCATATCTTCCTATGTTTTTCTTTTTTGTAGCTTATAGTAACACATGTTGTCAGATACATCTTAAAACACTAAACACGTTGTATGTACTGATTTCCTCTTTCCCTCTCCTTTATTAATACATTCAAAGAAATTGAACAGATTGATTCTCCATTGTCACAAATCATACTGATTTAACCACTCTTATTAGATGACCTTCCAGGTGTTTTATTACTTTGTTTTAAAATTTCATTTCAACATTTTTACCAGATACAGTTTTTACTCCTCTGAAATTCCTTATATCACCCATGCAGTATTTAAAATATCTATGATATGCTTTAAGCTATATCCTAACCCTTGATAAAAGGAGTAAATTTATTACTCAGAATCACTTGACAATTACCTGAGTAAACCTGAGGAGGAAATGATCACATGAGTAGCGTCTGATTTCGGTGGAAATTTCATATGAATGAAGGATGAGACCATCACTGTTCCTCCATGTGGATATTCCCATGACTGAACTACTCCAACTAATGCTTTGCACTACATACCAACTCATCATTCTGTACCATATCTATAGGTATCAAAGTATTACTTGACAAAAGGAGGTAAAAAACTAGTGCTTGTCTGGTAAGGTACCAATCAAGATGTGTAAGGGGCAAATTCTTGCCCTTAGGTACCAGCTGCTTTTTAATCTTATGCAGTCACTATTGTAAAATTTAAATTAAGAAGTAGAAGACAATGTTCAAAGCTGAATGGAAATAGATGAAGGGAAAGTCTCTTAGCTGACACTAGTCTTTGATGTGTGCTCATCTGAGAGAAAACTTTGTCCAGAACTGTATTTACATTTGTTCTGTAAGTATTACTGCAAGAGGGCTTATGAGTGTAGGGAACATATGGAGAGGCTGGCAGGCATGGATTCCCTGGTGTGGTGGTTAGAGACTTTACTCTGAAAAGGCAAGCTTTGAAAATTCATTTGAACACTATAAAATACACAACTAGTATGCCAAGTAAATCTGTATTTTAAAGAGTACTACTATTGTGAAAAAGAATTAAATATTTAAAGAAAAAATGCAACTTTGTAATTTAAATAATTATTCTATAAGTCTATATCATAGTCTAACATTGCAAGCTAAATTAATTCTCAGCCCTTTCACATAATGACTACGTCAAATCCAACAAGTTTCTTTGAATTATTTTTTTAGTATCTGGGCTCCCCCACCTTTACTTATTTATTATTTATTGTAGTATTTGCTCTTTAAAATTCTGAAAAATTTTCTGATTCCATAATGACAGCAATTCCCTTCCTCAAGGGTTCTTTCCATTGCAAGATGTCCCTCAGTTAGACTAAGCTTCATCCACAATCCATCAAAATCAATGGGACAAATTTTAACAAATTTCAGTGGATGTTACAGCATGTGTTGGAAATGTGCAGCTAACTTCTAGCTCCTCTATCCTGACCATGTTTAAACCATTGGTGCAATTTAAAATATCATTTACACTGAAATACTTGATGAATCACAGACTGCATGTGTCTAGATTTCTTTATCAATGTAAAATATAAAATGACAGCTAAGTATTTTTTATTGAACTTGGCTACTACCATTGCAACTATTTCAACTCCTGGATATAAAGGTCATGACTATTCTCTCTGTTAAACTTGGATTTATATGTTACATACATGTATGTGTGTGAGTGTATACACTAGTATACATTATTATCAAAAGGAGGTCTAAGGAGAACCTCCATCATTAGAATCATAGAATCATAAAGGCTGGAAAAGAGTCCAAGGTAATCATGTCAAACATTCAAACAAATACCGGCATACACAATAAACTATATCACTAAGTGCCACATCTACTCTTTTTTGAATGCTTCCAGGAATTATGAGTTCACCACTTACTGGGAACCTTGCTCCAATACTTAACCACTCTTTCAGCGAATAAATTTTCCCAATATTCAATCTGAATCTCCCTTAGTGCAACTTGAGGCTATTGCCCCATGTCCTGTCTCTAGTTGCCTGCATAGTGATGAAGGATTAGCAGAATGCTGGGGATTTTAGAGCCTTTTTTGCCTCATTGTCTATTAGTAGTACCAGTCATTCTTTTGGTACCCAATCCTCTGAGATGGAGAAGGGGTCGGGAACACAATAAAACCCCCATAATCCAAGGAATTAGAGTGTCCAGGGAAAGGCAACATTGCTAGTGAAGTGTCTTATGAGGACGGGCTGAAAGAGCTGGGGAAAAGGAGGCTCAGGGGAGACCTTATCACTCTCTACAATTACCTGAAAGAAGATTGTAGCCATGTGGGGGTTGGTCTCTTCTCTAAATTGAAGTTGGACATTTTTTAGATGATCTCAGAAAAAGTTATTTTATTCAGAAAAAAATAGATTATATGTAAACTGCAAGCAAAATAATTATTTTTAAAAGATTGATCTCTAGTTATATAAAATTTGCATTCCAAAATAAAGGATGAACACATTCATGAATATTAGACTTCTAGAAGAAAACTGAAGCAAATGAAGTCATTAGTCATTTGAACATCTATTTCTGCGTGGGAGATCAGTTTATGCAAGCATGAGGAACATGTACATCACCTGGAGAAGCACAGTATCTAATGCTACAGCTCCTACCTGTGTGTCATAAACAAAACACTGCAGTGGTGACTCACAATGGAAATGAAAGATTCCACAGAAAGAACTATTACAAATGATTATTATAAATTATCAGAATGATACTACCCATAGGATTTCACTTTTTGTATGTGTTATATTTCTCCTGTAGCACTCTAAAAAACAATCACCATCTATCACCCCCTTGTTATCAGGAAGTTACTGTTCTTGGCTTTATTTTAGAACACTTTTTAAAAATGTTTGAAGTTAATTTTGGTCAGGTGACCTGTTTCCTTTTACCTCATTTTCTATTCTGTTCTGTTCTATTCTATGTTATTCTATTCTATTCTGTGCTATTCTATTCTATTCTGTTTTCACAACATCCTTTAAACAACTTTAGTATTTGACTGCCTTCCAAAAATGCACTAACTAATGTTACTAACATCTGTCATGTGTAGTTCATTTTCCCTCTCATCTTCTCTGCAGGGACAGGATGAGAGAGAAAATGAACCACACATTGTGTGTGCAATGTAGTGTTATATGCATATGCATTATGATAGAGTCTTTAATTACATGCTCTCATCTTGTTTTCCCACAGGACCCCTGCCTCATTCAGTGCACAGGACAAACACATGTGAGAGATTTCAGAGTGCATATGCAGCCACCAGTTTAGCAGTTCCTGACATGTTTTTTTCATCTGATCTGGTGCTTTTAAATGTATGTTTCCTCTTCTCATGTCCTTTTTTTTTCATCTTCACATATTATTGGTATTTTCTATAGAAAGAATAGCAAGACGGTACTCATAAGAAAATTGAAGAGAAGTAAGGTATTTATCAGACCTGAAAACAATACACAGTTAATTCCTCAAGCCTCAGTACACCTTTACATATAATCCCAAAGTGGGATTCAGGAAGAAAAAACAGGGGATGTTTTTCCCACCTGCTCCACCCTGCCTGAAAATTGAGGTATGTAATTATGAATCTGTGAAGTTGGAGGAAGCAAGAATACTGCTAGTATGGAGGCTTTGAAAGAGATACTTGCATGCTTCCACTTGGCTTGGACTTTTTATGTATCTGTGTCATCCAAAATCATACCTTTTGCAAGTAACCAGTTAGAGCTAATTTGGAGTCCTCTCTGTTACCATCTGGTACATGATAAGCCTAACTCTTCACATTAAATTACATTATAAACTTGCACAAATAATCTCTCAAAATGCTTATTATCTTGGAATCAAAATACTAAGAGTTATTATTTGTTATCTTGGGGTTTTTTCCCCTAATGAAGACTTTTTGCTTATTCCTAATCAATGAGTTGATATTTTTGTGGGTTGTTTTTTTCTTTTTTTTCTTTTAGTTTTGCTTACAATACCTGAGTGTGTAATGACAAGAACACTGCAGATAAAACATAAATATCATGCATTCTTTTCCTTTTTCTACATACATCTTAGTTCCAACTCCTTTTAAATACAATATGCTTCCATATTTTACCGCAGGTAACTATTTTGTCATTTCAGAATGCTTCCAGAACCACTTTTGACTGACTGTCATAAAGATTTGTCTAAATGAAAGCAGACATAGTTTTCTTTTAATTAAATAAGATTTTTTAAAATTAGATAAGATTTTTTTTTTAATCTGTTGATAGAAACTTTGTAGTTTCATGGATATTACTGCTGATTTATAGAGGTAAAAGTTTCCCCTCTGCTGCTGTGTGCAGTCGTTTCCTACAAAAATGGGCATGGATGCTGGCTTGTGTGCATGTTTTGCAAGTAGTTGCCTACAGTAGTAGATTAACTCCATCTGTTAGTCCACAGGCAGGGCCATTTGAATTTTGCCTGTGAAATCTGAACCCAGGCTAAAGAGGGAGTCTGAACTCAAACCTTTTTTTAACTTCAGACTGTCTGAGCCAATATAAATGTATTGCACTATGGAAAGGAGCCCTTTTAAATCCACTTCAGACCAAACTTGGAAATGTTTGAACAGCTTAAAGCTTTTAACCTTGAATCTCATTGTAGCTTAATGGGGTGTTTTTGTTTGTTTGGGGATATTTTTATTCTTGGTGGGTGAGGAAGGTATCCAGATTTTCTTTTTCAGCTATGGATCTTTGATCTCTGCTTCTTTGCAGTGATTCCACTGCTTGTTCCAGCTGCAGTACACCTATCTTGTGAAGCAAAGCGCAAAATTGCATTGCTTGTACATGTGGCTCTCTATAACAAAATTGAAGAACTTACATTTGCACTGGAAGGTTTTCAGTTCGTAAAAGGTCAAGTGTAAATTTTTAAAGCCTCAATACATCTAAATCCAGGCCTTTGGGAGAAATATGTTTTCTACCTGGATTGTATATCTGTCCTCATACCAAGAAGTCTGAGTGTCTGTTCCAGAATGTTTGAATGCAGTGCAAACAAGTATCAAAGCAAATATTACATGTCTGTTAATGAACATTTTCAGAGCAGTTATGTGATGTTTGACAGGATTTTTCTTTTGCTGAGTAAATCTCCTCCAAATGTTCATAAGTGTTAGCTTAGAAGTATATAGTGACATACATACCATAAACACAGCTGTTCCCGGGAAAATGTATTTCACAGGTCCAACACTGAGGATTTCTGTTTGATATTTCAAAAAAAGTTTCAAAAAGCATTCATGATGCTATGAAGACCTCATTCCTGCTTTACAGAGAGTAGAACTGCATGCCTGTTTGATGGCAAATTATCCGAGATGAGTGAATAGGAATTTTGGCTAACTGTGAAGAGAACAGAGGAGCCCTTTCTGCCTTTTGATGTGGTGTATGTGGTGTCTAGAAGGGGGGCAGGCAGAGAGCAGGGGGAAGCTTTGCTATCCAGCCCTCTTTTTCATTCCCCAAAGCAATTTGGGATTTTCTGTTTCTGTTTCTGTCACCACTCTTATCAGTACAAATGTACACATATCAGCACTCTAACAAAAACTACAGACATGCATGCTCCCTGCCAATCCCACAAATCTCCCTGTCCAGTCTAATAATTACAAGGTATTCCAAAGAAATACCTGGATTACAAAGGAGCTGGTATATCATCCTGTATTATCTCTTGCTGCAGGGTGTGAGTTTAAAAGACAGCATTAGCATAGTTTTTGATACTTTATTACTTGCATTTATTTTAACCTATTTCAAATGTGATCTGTTGTCAGTAGTATGCTTATACTGCAGCTTTTACTGGGAGAGGAATACACTGCTATAGACAGGCATATGTGGTAGCACAATAGATTTTATGCTGAGTCTCCTTGCTTGCCTATTTCCTTTAAAAAATTCTTCTCTCTCAGTTTTGGTGACTTAAAGTTCATCTTTGCATAGAAAGTTAGAATTAATTTTGCTAAAACCACATTTCTTTCATACATATCCCACAGGTACGGGGAAAAACATACTGCACCCATTATTTTCAAGAAAATAGAATCTATTCCTCCTGTATTCCTGTTTGGAAGTCTGGAAATTTCATTTATTTTAAGAAAGCAAAGACTTGTAGGTAACAAGTTAGATTTTAAAGTTAATTGTCTTCTGGATTATTCAACGGGTTCACACTATTTAGATGCAATTTTTTTCTCAGCAGCAGGGTCATATCATAGCAGAGCCTTTTCTTTTTAGCCCCTTTAGTATAAACTGTAAAATGCCTGCAGGACCTCTCAGTTTCATCATTCTAATCAGTTTTTTGAGTTTAACATCAGAAAAGAATAGAATATAAGAAAGTAAATTAAATAGCACAGAAAGGCTCAGCCAAGACTGAAGTTACTTGAACTCCTGATGCTTTCAGCATGTTACACTGACAGGCACAAACCTGTCAGTGTAACAACAGGTTACACAACAGGTTAAACAACATCACATACTTCTTATTATTTAAATCATTACTAAAATTGACAAAGCCTGATATTGCTTCATCTGCCCAGATATGTGTGCCTATAATAATAAATTCTAAACTCACCTCTTCTGTAGCACTTTTCATCCACAGAGCTCCAAGCTTTTAAATGGGAATAATCAGATAACTGATTTGCTCTAGTGACCCAGCAAATCAGTGACATAAGGTAGAATTGGACTTTAATTCAGACCCATGATGACCACATGAATGTATCTCACTGATCTGGTGATAATACTGTAATGAGAATTCAGTAATATTTATAAGCCTTTTATACCTTTTATGTTGCTAGATTTGCTGCCTTTGTAAAGATTTACATGACCGTGTGCCTTTTTTTGCTATCTTTTTTTTTTTAGTCAGAGAGAGAAACAGACATATTTAGAGAACCCATATTTAGCCAAAGAAAATGTTTAGTTTGGCAAGATTTTTGTAAAATATTTCACTGCTTCGTTCAATAATGTCTCAGGTATTGTCTATGCTACATCTTACCTCTTAATATGAAATTTTTTTCTGAGTACATATCTTAGACACTGACTTGCAAACACTTTATTTGTATCACTTTAGTACAGACTTCTGAATAAATATTATTGTGTATTTTCTAAATTAACTTAATCTAATGATGCCTTGAAAATAATCTTTGTAATTTCAGTAGTCTTCGATTAAGTTATTTTCAGTATGTTGCATACAGAGTATTTGTTGGTGTTTGGTTTTTTCTAAATCTTAAATATTTCACCAAAATTAATATTGGCTCACAACAATTGAAAGAATGAGTAAGGTACAGATCTGGGCTATATTGTTATCTTCATGTAGAGAGTTGCACATTCAGTTAAATTTCTGAAACCTAGAAGTTAGTTCTAGATTTTTTCTAGAGTAGCTGAAAGCAGAGTAAGCCTGTTTAGTAGTTTTAAATATTTTCTGTTAATATGCTCAGTAAGTCATAGGTTGTAAACATTTCTATCTTACTAGTTTGATTCTTAAAATATATTTTAATGAAACCACACTCTTTTACAGATAAGCAAATATCCTCTACAGTTAAATTTTATTGCTTCAACAAAGAATGCATCATGATTAAAGAAGGGTATGAAATTTCAGTTTTCAAAGTTCACAGATTGACTTGTATTCAACCCACTCAACAAAGTATGCGGTTGTACTGCAATTCAAACTGCTGTATTTTCTACTTAGATCATCATGGTATTCAGTTCAAACTACTACAGATGAAAGTTGTTGGAACATCAGTGCATGCAGTTTGGATCCTTTGTTAAACAAATTCAAATGTTCAATATCTGTGCCACAGTACAGCTTAAATGTGTTTATTCACTCTTAAACAGTGCTAAGAGGGAATTTTACTACTGTCTTCAGCTTCCTAATGGGAGGTTATAGAGACGACCTACCAGACTCCTCTCTGAAGTGCAGAGTACAAGTGGCAGACACAGGAAGCTTTGAATAAATATTAGTGAAAAATTTGAAGTGATAGTGGTTACAAGAAGAAGAAGAAGGGGAGAGGTAGCTCAGATTGTTCTCTTAAAGTTTTTTAGTGGTTTTTGGTTGGGTTTTTTTTGTTGTTGTTGTTGTTGTTGTTTTGTTTCGTTTTGTTTTGGTTTTTTTGCTTGGTTTGGTTTGGTTTGGTTTGGGATTATGTTTTTATTTAATGGCATAGAAATTTATGATTGTATCAATAAACATCATTGACATAAATATGCGTATTTATGGCATCCAGCAAACAATTTAGCCTGAATGTGAATATTCTTCCCACACACATTCTGCTTCTGAAGACTAGGTCCCCAACTTATGATTTCATCTTTGAATATGTTTATTCAGATGCAATAAAGATCACTTTCTGTTA